GTTTCCAAGAAGCAAACAGTTTCATGAATAGTTTTCAAAATCAGCACGTTTAACGCAAGAAATCAAGCATGCACTTTAAAACGAATAATGAACACACAAAAAAGTGTCCCGTCCAACGGGATTTTTTTTAGCATAAACTCCTTGTTTTATCTTCATCTTTCGAGATCTTTTGAAATCCATGCTTGCATTTTAAGCAAAACAGCATTTCTTTTGATTCCTCCAAACAAACATGCTGCATCTTTTTATTGTCGAGAACAGTGCGCGTGTTCGTATGCAGCGGAAGTAGTAAATTATGGCTGCTGATTGGATAAATATCATGTCATTGACAATTACGACCCCGAAAAGACTTCGCTTTTGCTCACGTACGCTTCATTTTTAACATGAATCTGAGCGAGAAGGATAGACTCCCCGTTTGCAACAAGTCCCTCCACACATATCAGAAAAGTTTTAACGTGAGTATCGAATGAATATTGAATGTGCGTCTTTACTTTTACCTTTTAATTTGGTAAAATACGCGTTAAAAAGGTAATCGTCTAATTTCGAGCCCGAAATTTAGTTCGAATGAATGAATAAATGTCTCACGCTATAATTTTTTCGGAAAAATAGTTTTCGAAGCCATTTGTTTGATATATAGACCATTGCAGGCGTGCAGAGAGCTTTTCAAGGCTCCAGAAAAACCTTTAATACTTACAGTTTGTCTCCAACCATCTTTTGCTGCCTGATTAAAAGATTTCCAACTCAGTGTTCGCTTTTCAGAAAGAGTCTTTCGATGTATCAGCGACTCTCAGCCATGACTGCAGTTCTTTCGTTCTTTTTAGCGCTTTCCCTTTGCCGTCAAAGACTGTCAAATTGAAGCATTTCAAAGTCGACCTCGTCACTCTTCCCATAAAATTATTAATAAAAGACAAAGGTAAATATCGCTATTTCTTACAAACTGATGTAAGGAGCCCAAAAAATGTGTTACTCTCGCAGATGTAGCACCTGCCACGTGAAGATGTTGAACCGGGAGTGAAATTGCCGATTTGCATGGAGATAACGTAACTTGGAAACGACATATACTGTAGTGAAAGCCATTAATACCAGAATGAAAAATAAGAACAATAAACGTTAGGCACATTCTGAACCACTTGTTTTCTGGTTGTAAAAAGAATTATAGCAATTAAGTCCGATCTTTGTGAGAGCGGTCTAAGGCATTACGCATTGGAAAAAAAGTTTTGCCTCAAACTTTGCATATTAAACTATCTTTGGTAGAAAGTAAATATTGGAAATACGTTTAAAAATTTTTGAGAGCTCTTAATAATCAAAGCTGCAAAGGGTTCTTTTTTGACCTCTGACGACATAATTTCCTTCGCTCTAGTGACTTCTAACTTTTGGCGATTTTGTTAGCGTGACAGCAGAGTTATGCAAATTAGTATGTTGGCAAACTCCGACCGTTTATTTTGTTCTCTTCATAAATCTAAGATTTTAACCATTTTAAAGAGAAAAGATACTAGGGAAGAGTTTTTATAACACGCTGATCGATTCTCTAAACATTTTAAACAGCAAAATTCTGGCAAATGACGGCTGATTCGGTCAACGTGTTTATGAGAAACTTTTTAAAAAAATTGGTTTCTGTTCTTTTATATTTGAGTTCAGAGAGCTTAAGCTATTCAAATCTATATGAACATTTCAGAACCAAACTAAAGGATTTTATTTAGTGTTTAGTTTAAATAAGGCAGCGATAACGTGATTTTTTGCTCGGAATTCAAGCTTAGCTTTTCCAGGCTGTCAGCCGTGTTTGCCCTTGATGGGAGCAGAGAAATACAGGACTTCAGATCAGTGAGAGGAAATGTCCGAGATCCATTGCAAGGTTTCAGTGCGTGCAATAACAGCATTACCGACGCTATACAAAAGCTCTACTCTCATGCGTTCTAGTTCGTCCATAATTTGGAAAAAAATCTTTAAAACCATCGGCACCCTCAGCTACATTATTTTCTAGACCCCGCACTGATAACCTCTGTGTCCTCTTGAACTTCTAAGAATCTCCTCGTGGTTGATTTACCTATCGGTTGAAATTCAGTTTCTTTGTAATGGCCATGTATAATTAATGATGGTACACTTGGCTACGGTGCGCACGACGTTAGGGGTGACAAACTCGTCACCGCTTTTAAGTTTGATGGTGCAAGTGCCTCACGCTACGTCTTGACAGCAGTATGGCCTCATTGTGAAATCTAAAAGTAGTTCAGCTGAAGCTGTTCCATACGGATTGTTTCCCGCGAGACTTTTTCGATTGGCACTCCGGGCCCCTCAGTCTTCGCTTGTGTTCAGTGCCTTCTTTATTTGTTTTTCAAAGAGGTTTTCAAATGACTGATTTATGTGTTTAAGCGCGTTGACTGAGAATCTATTGGCATAATACTTAGGATTTTAAAGAGATCCTTCTGATAGGCGACAAGAGGGGTTTGAAGGCCAATATCGAAAGCTTTCTAACACTTCTGCTGGCCTACGACCGCCTGGAATAATGCTTTACCATCTCTTAGCGCCATGACATCGCACGCCCGCTGGCAAGCTTCTCTAACTTTTTGAACAAACTCAGATTCTAAGGAAAGGAGCATTTTTGCCATCAATCTACTTGGGATTCCAAGTGTGTACTCTTGGGCTTTTGTATAGCGTCGGCGATGCTGTCATTGCACGAATTGAAACTTTTCCTACCACTGATGTGAATTTCTGCTGTTCTCTACTCCCACCAAGTGCAAACATGGTTTGTAGTCCTGAATAACTAGGCTAGAATCCCGAGCATCGCTGCCTTATTTTGATGGGACTAGTACATAATCGAATTACTGACTGAGACGCTCGTCGCGATGAATTTCAGTATGTGTTGTTAAAGACTATGTGCACTTCCTCCTTTTGAGCGAAGTTAAAAAAATCAAAGCTAAAAAAAGCATCAGAGCTAAATAAAGAAAAAAAGATATCAGCGCGCCGCCGAGAACTCTTGGAAAGAGGTACTAACATAAATTTTTTCTTCACTGATTTTTTCGACCAGCGCCACGGACTTCGCCGAAAAAGAGAGACTGTTGTTATCGCCGGTTACACTAAATAAAAATCCTGTAGTTTGTTTCTGAAATGTTCATACAGGTTTGAATAGCTTGAGCTCTCTAAACTCAAATATGAAAGAAAAAAACCAGTTTTTTTCTAAAGTTTCTCATTACCACGTTGATCGAACGCTAAGTAATAAGATATTCGATAGGTTTTGATCGCCTTTTTCGTCACGAGACAGAATCATTTGCCAGAATTTAGCGTTTAAAATGTTAAGAGAATCAATCAGTTTGTTCTAAAAGCTCTTACCTACTATCTATTCTTTTTAAAATGGTTAAAATCTAAGATTTATGGAGCTACCAGTATAAACGGTCGGAGTTGGTTCAACAGAATAATTTGAATAATTCTGCTGTCACGCCAGCAAAATTACCAAAAGTTTGTAGTCACTAGGGCGAAGGAAATTAATGAGCGCAAGATGTTTTTACATTTCTATGCTTTCCCACATCTTATTAGAAGAGATCAACCTTAGTTTTCAATAGTCTGGTCTGGACTAGAGAAATATAACCCAATTTCAGAAAGCTGCCTAACGGGTGTTTTTAAATCAATTATGGTGAACCTCTGGATAAACACATATCAGAATTTAAATGCTTTCCAAACTGCTTATGTATCACACAATTAAGAGCACAAACGATTTCTTGCTGCATGTAGTGTGTAACAAGGAGCGAGCTTGTCAACTTTAGAAATTTTCGTTGTCGCAAGACGTCAGAAAGGGCCTTTTGCAGCTTCGATTATTGAGAGCTCTCAAAACCTTTTTTTTAGTATTTCCAGAAACCAATGAGATTTCATCTACTTACTACAAAAGATAGTTTAATGGGCAAAGTTTGAGGCAAAACTTTTTTCCGATGCGAAATGCCTTGGACCGCACTTACAGAGATCGCCTCTTAACTCAGTGTTAACTTAAATGTTTATAATTCTATACTATCGAGAGGTGAGGTCGTGTAGTTCACATAAACGTCAGCTGTAATGAACATGAACCGTCCTATTCACCCATGGAGATTACGCAAAGTATGAAAATATAAAAAGATTAAAATTGTTCATGCTATAATCGCTCCAAGGAGGCCAGGATCAGGGTTCTTATGAAAAACTCACAGAAAGCCACAATAGGAGTCATATTTCTTTTGTTTAAATGAAATCCAAATTGGATAAAACTTCAATGAATACCGGATATAGCAAGCGTAGTTGAATAGTTGTTAATAGAGGATAATGAGCGTTTTGTGAAATTACTTTACGCAAGTGCAGAGCAGCAATATGGATAACCATTTTCATACCATTATCAAAGCAGTATAATTTTGCAACATATGTTTATTTTGAAGTTTTTCTGTTTATAAGAAAAGGGTATCGAGAGGTATTGCAGAACGGAGGGCTTTAAAATTTTTCTTACGCAAGAAATTACCGCAAAATTCCCTTTACTAATTGTATGTGATATAGGGATATTACGATATCAATATTATACTTGTTACCGTTCTATGTAATTGTGTAAATAACTTTTCAATTAAGCGGCTCTTCAGAGGAACCGAAAGGCAACTGTAATGCTTAACTTCGATTTTAGCGGTCCATGAGTTTCTGTCTTTACTATTATTGTTAAGGTGATCGCATATGAAAAAAATAACGACAGTTATGAATCTCGAGAATTTCATGGTTATAATCGACAACATTAACTTCTCAATCGTTTCTTTCTCATTCCGTTCCATTTTGATATCAAGCTTTTCGTTAGACCTTTGTCAGAGCGAATGACGTTTCGTATGAATTTATTATCATGAGATGAATGTCGCACGCTCTTGTTTAAATTCTCAGTCGAATGAAGCGCCTTGTCTGACGATCACGTGATCAGCGTGCATGTGACAGAAACGCCAGAGGATTGTCAATTGCAGTGTTATTTAGAGGATGACTATATGTCGATCAACATCGAAGTAATAGGGGATGGAACGTGCTATTGTGAATTGAGTGACTCAGACCATGTTTTACATCCTCGAGATCTCGAAAATCAGAAAGACATTATTTACATATCAGTACAGGTGAGAATTTCCGATTCAACTGACGGATCAATTTTTCTGTCAATCTTATTCCGTAAGGGAATGCATAAGTCTAGAAAAATGAACGAACAATCCTCTCTCGAGAATTAACTCATAGAGCAAACACGAGTTCTAGTTACTATTTGTTTACAGTATTTTGTCATGAACAATCGAGCAAATCTGCTCGCGGTCGAGGCATCGGTTTTGCATCACTGAAAGAACATAGATACTACTGGTCTTCAAACAAGCAATGGCCAGTCTCAACCTCTTAGCGAGATTGTCGCTCGTGTGAGTTCAGTGGACTTTCTGACACAGAAACCTTCGATATGATAGAAGAACCCCCTCGTATGAAATGACGACTATTTTAGCCTCCTAATTGTAAACATACATGCGGTATCAAAAAAGCCCCTACATAGCCTACTCCGGTCTGCCACAACGGCAACGTTTACTTCCAAAGGGCACATAACGTTGCTAATATCGGGATTTCAGTCGACTGAAACTTGAATGAAAAGTAGCTTATGGGTGTTAAAAGCATAATACAATTGTTGACTTGTAGAGAGCTCTGAACGCGACATTTATGCAATACCCAACTTAAATACGTCTCTTGATTGGAGGGCTGAACATGTCGCGAGTCGTGAATTAAAATACACTTACTTTCTCGGATAAACAAAATTCACTAAGCCCCCGGGGAAACAACGACTTGACTTTCGACTCTCACGTGATGCAATGCCCAAATTAAATACGTCTTTTGATTGGAGGGCTGAACATGTCGCGAGTCGTGAATAAAAATACACTTACCTTCTAGGATAAACAAAATTCACTTGGCCCCCGGGGAAACAACGACTTGACTTACAACTCTCACATGATAAGGTCGTTCACCGTGAAACCGCAGCAAATATGTGTGCCAGCCTGCGTATAAAAATTACTTTTTGCAGTCATTTTCGAGTTGGGATGTATGAGAAACACTTTAAAAAATTAAAATTTAAGTGACTGGCCCCACAGGAAGCAGTGAGGATTGCTTTACCTTGCCCTGCCAGGGCAACAAAACTCACTATATCCCTTAGAGTCGGTCATTAGTCACTTATTTTACCAACTTTGCCAGGTGTCTGCATTATAATTGTCTGGAAGCGAAAGTAAACACTATTAGTAGAGTAGCTAGAGGGCAAAAGATGAGAAAGTAATTAGAGCAATAAATAAACTAAGTGATGAGAATACGAAATACGATTGTGTTGTTTTTCAAGGATTTGAGCGCTCCGACTTAGCTTCTTCCGATCGCTTTTTCACGTCTGCTTCTGATTAGCTAAAAAAACTATAGTCACACTGATCCATTGTACGGCTTGTTGAACATGATTGGTACTCTCAATGCGAATGAGGCAAATCTAAATGTTTATCATTGTGGCTGGTGAATCTTTTGCTTCAGATATTGAAATCTGACATACTCTAATTTTAATGCATCTTGATACCTTTTCAAAGCGAAAACACACCTCAGATGAAGTATAGGTAAGCGATAATTTTAAATTTCAGGCACGATAGTACAACATTTTCAACACCGAAAATCTATTAAGGCAAAAATTTAAGGATCTTGTCGCCCAAGAATTAGTTAAGAAAGTTTGTTTCTAAATACACCACATGAATTGCAGTCATTATTGAACAGCTGCCTCTACTCTGTACTGTGTAGTATGGTTGTGCATCTTACACATTTTTAAAGAGGAAACACACCTAAGGTGAAGTATAGGTAAGCGATAATTTTGAATTTCAGGCACGATGGTAACATTTTCAACACCGAAGATGTCTTAAGTAAACATTTAAGGATCTCGTCGTCCAAGAATGTAGTAACAAAATTAGTCTTTAAATAGAGCCAATTGTTTGCAGCCATTCTTGACCAGCTGCCTCTTCTCTTATTGTGTAGTATGGTTTTGCATCTTAACACATTTTCAAAGCGAAAACCTCCTCAGGTTAGGTTTAAGTAAGCGATAAATTTGGATTTCAGGCGCGATGGTAACATTTGAAACACCGAAGATCTATTATGTAAGAATTTAAGGATCTTGTCGTCTAAGATCTTATTAATAAAATTCGTTTGAAAACAGAGCACATTAATCGCAGCAAATGTTGGTCAGCTGCCTCCTTTCTGTACTCAGTGGTACGGTTTTTCTGCGGTTTTCAAGGTTCTTACATTCTCTTCCTTCAAATAAAAGGTCATTCGGTTTTATCAACCGAGTTGCCAATGTAAATTGGCCACCGTAAAGATTTGCTACATGTACCATTGTCTCAAATATGTCTGTTAACTCTGTTTAATCAATTTTAATCAATGCGACCTACTGATATTAATTTTTTCATTTTGAACTGGGCAATATCAACATCTGCTTTAATAAAGATCCCAAACTAACGAGAAGCATCATATTGAATATGAAAGCGATTTCCGCAGTAATGAACATTACTTTACCAGTAGAGAAAAAAAGACCTGACAAAAATTAAGGCCCGCACGAGATTTAAACCCATAACCTGTGCGACACCGATGCCGTGCTCTATCAACTGAACTAACAAGCCATCTGGGAGCTGGTCATTATGTTGTTTTATAATAAACCCGTGAAGTTGACAATAATCCGCGGTTCACTAGGATGATTTTCGTACATTCACAGTCATTGAAACATTGTTAACTGCTCTAGTGCTCAGCGGGACCATGAATTGTTTCCTGTTTTTTTTTTTTTAATCTCTCTCAATCATACTTTAGAACTTTCCTGAAACGCCATTAGCGCTAATCATTGATTTATTGAAGAATGAGTCAGACATTATCATAACAGTGTCGGTAAGAATTGGAGATACTCTCTAGCTACGAAAGATCACAATCATTTTTATTTTTATAATCCTCATTTGTCAATCCTAAACCAACTTTGTTCATTCTCTTTGTTTGTTATCATCGTTTTAGATATCGAAAACCTCGCATGTTTACAATGGTTGGTTATGGTTTACTCTCATGGTGATCATTAAAAAAAAAAAAAAAAACGAGTCAGTATCAGGCTGAACATGTTGAACTACAATGTTAAAATCAACACTGAAAAGTTGTTCGTTTTTTTCACCCACAGAGCATGGAATTAACAACAGAACTGGGTTTTACCATAGCGTTTTCTATATTCATGATCTTGGCATTGTTTGGAAACCTGTTGCTGATATACATTGTCTGGAAGAAACCTGAAACGAGAGGTCTGACAATTTTCTTGTTCGTCAATATGGCCGTGGCCGATCTACTAGTTGCAGTATTTCAGATTCCTATCTCCATGGCTCATTTTTACGCAACTGAAATGAATGGTGTAGCCGGTGACCTGTTCTGTAAGTTTTTTAACTACATTTTGCAAGTGTCGATGACAGCCTCCATTCTCAGTTTGGTCGTGATGGCATTTGATCGATACTTCGCTGTCATACACCCTTTGAGGCGAAAGATCTGGTTCCGAAGATCCAAGGTAATTCTACCTGTCATTTGGGTCCCATCCTGCACTTTAATGGCGGTAAATTTAGTCTCTTACGAGGCTCATTATGGGAAGTGCCTTTATACAGAAAAGCATATTTCAAGCGTTATCCTATTTACCTACTTACTGGTCATCAACTATGTCTTGCCTCTCGCCATCATTTCTGCCCTTTACATCAAAATCGCGAGGAAAATATGGTTCCACGAAATTCCTGGTCAAAAAGAAATCTCTCGAAACCTGGCAGATGATCAGATTCCTAAAAGAAAAGTCCTCCGAACGCTCATCATCATTGTGGTTGTTTTTGCAGTCTGTTGGTTGCCCGCCCAAGTGCTCCAAATGGACTACGTGGTGACAGCAACAATAAGATGGCATCCTGCAGTCATCTATTTTTCCTCTTGGCTCAGTCAGGCTAACAGTGCTATTAATCCCTGGCTCTACATCCTGCTCAATGGTAAAATGAATGGAGCTTTTCGCAGAATGATCCGAGGCCAAAGTGTGAAAAGCAGGGCATCCAGCAGGACCAGCCAATCGACCACGGCCGTGAGCTTACTCAAAAATTCCTTTCTTGACAATTCTGTAGTTTAAGGGATCAGCGCAGCGCTCTACTGACTAAAACAATAGATGATTGGGTTTAGCCTTAGGATATATGTAGGTTTGCGTGATTGAGTTTTCCTCCTAGTAAATAGATCCATGCTGCAACAAGAAAGTGCCTTGAGATTGGTAAGGTCACTAGATCAGTCCTACAAGAAAACGTATTTAAGATCATCACATAACAAGTGTAATGGATCTTGATGTTCCGCCATAAGATTACAGGTTTTCTTAAATGTATTACCCTTAAATAGTTAGCTGCCGCCGTGAACAGAGCTCCTAAAGATCATAAAGCAATGCCACGGTCATCAGATCTGGTCTATGGGACACTTTGTGTACAGTACACCACAATAATTAGCAGCCTTGATGTATACACTTTCATGAATGTATTTGCCCCAGATGTGTGTTCGTTGCCTTTATCTACCAGTTCGAAAAAAATATTAAAGTGAGTTTGTTAGTAGTCCTGGCAAAATCCTTCTATTTCTATGAAGTAAAAAACACAAGAGAACTCACATTTATCTAGTAGTAGATTGATGGTAAATAATGATATCTGTGCTTCTCACCGGAGAATCGCTTCATGGTAGAAGCGATTGCAGCTTGTGGTACGCCATTCAATCGTCACTTTTTGTTTTTGAATTCGTAGTGGGATCCAGCTGAAGTTGATAGCTAATCAATTTATGCGACAAGTTTTAATTCAGGTATGTAAGGCACCGAAGTACATGTTTTGTACACTGAGTACTTTTTATCAAAGAGGAAAATTTATTTCAATCTGGGTGATACTGGATAAAGAAAGGGAACGGACTAATCATGGAAAAGATTAGAAAAAAGAGAAAAAAATAGAAAAGCATATCCTAATCAAGATACGTTAAGTGGTGGTGGGTGGCAATGTATAAATGTATTTGCGAAAAGAATGTATCTCATTAGTTACGTTTTCCTCCATATTTTCTAAGTCTCCTTTCATAAACACGGCGGTAAAACGTCTACGCACCTGCGAATGTTGTAGAGGCTCTATGAAGTACTTTCAGAGTCTTCAAAACCAAGTTGTCTTTGAGATAACTACTCGAGCAAGCAAGTAGCGGCGTTCAAAAACCGTGTAAATTATTTGATAATGTTCAAAATAAGTGTTGTGAAAAATTGCATACGAAGTATCGAGTTTTCCTTTCTTCTTCCTTTTTTTTTTAATTACAGATTTATATGAAAAGATCAATGTTTTTGTTTTTGTTTCGTTTTTTTCGCATACCTGTGATAACACTTGGCGATTTAGAAGTTAAACTTGTGTGATTTATATATGTCAAAAGACTTTGATTCGGGGATTAATAAATCGGTAGTCGACAAATTTTGTTATTCAGTAGGTAACAATTATCTTATGCATAGAGAATAGGAACGGTTAAATGATTGTTCAACACTTGGCGCCTTAGATACAGCATACTGCATTTTGTCGAAATTTAAAAGAAATTTAACTTTCCAAATGCGACTGAAAGGCGACAATTTTTTAAAATCAAAAATGACCCATCACAGCGTTTGACTCTAATATAATCATTATACTATAATAAAAGCTAAGACTGGCATATTTAAGTTCTCTCCGTAACACAATCAGTGAAAGGTAGAATCCTAATGGCGAGAAATATTTAATAAAAAGCAACAGTTAGAAGTGAGTTCCCAGGATTATGTTTCGGTCAATTCCATTTCAACAAAACAAATTATAGCTAGATAAAAACTCATCATAAAAAAATGTTAATGGCGAGAAAAATTAACTAAAAAAGCAATAGTTATAACCAAGCTCACAGGATTATGTTTACGTCAATCCATTTAATCGAGAGCAAGATAGATTTGAACTTATCATAGGATTTTGTAACGAGGGAGAAAAAAGAGAATTAAAAAATAAATGGTAATCATCGTGTTGTGGTCTCACTTCAATACTTTGTATTCCTCCCGGTCTAGCATCAGTTCTAGTTGGCCATGTGGTGAGAGAGCTTTAGTTACAAATGGAAAGTCTTCAAACTCACAACTCAGACAACCAGGCTGTCTAATTTTCGTCCCATATTACCTTCAAGCTAATGCATTCTAATGGTAACCAAAACGTCAAATACGTAACATTTTGTGGTTTCAGATAAAAAAGCGTCACGTTGGTGGAAAAATCATTTTAACACATTGCCTTTTGAACAAGATTAGCGATTCGGTGGATTTGTTGTCGTCCGCACTGCTCCTTAAATTCGGAAACGGAGAATTAAGCCTTTAAAGACAGATTCGCTGTTCTACACAACTCAAAGAAAAGGAAAAGCAATTTTGCTTCTCCACTTTCAACTGGTAAGTAATTTATTATTTATCGCTGACTGTTTTTCCGCCCTGAATATTGTACGATCATCATACGATTTCGCTAACATTATCTAAAAACCTAAATTGTGATATTTCTTAGAGAATGCAATTTTATTGCCCTTAAGATCTGTTCAAATATGATTTCAAACTAAGCCATCGGCTTTTGAGATCATGGTCGTATATCTCTTAAATAATTCATATGAAAGGTTTAAAAACATAAACAAAAGGGGAATAAAATGTGTTAGCGGTCAATGATCGGAGGCACTGAGAGAAAAAAACCTCTGAAAGCAACATGCAAGTTCTACATTGATCAGAAATATCTTCAGTTTGAGAAAAGCTTCCAGAAATGAGCTAAAAATTAGTTAAACAGGAATATCGCGGAACTCTTTCAACTTCTTTCCATTAAGCTAATATTTTCAAGACTTATTCTTACAAATGAAGGCAACATCTGGGAGTTGAAATGCACGAAAATAATTTAAAGGTTTCGACCTTTTAGACTTAGGATTTAGCTCGAGGAAAAGGAACACTAATGGTTTTTAAATATTTTGGGTGCTCGTCTTTACGGTTAAAATAATTGGAAATCGTTTGAAAATATCTCTACGGCATTGGTTTAAATTGGTTTATAACATTATACCAATGGAAGCAGACACAGGAAGATTGACTTCCCTGGTAGCGACTGGGGTCGAGTCCAGACCAACGACACTAGGTTAGGACGTAATAAGAGCAAAACTGTAGAAAAAGTTATCTGAGGTTGGGAAAACACCGTTGTTTAAATTTTTTGTTTTCCTCCTTCATTTAGAGAACATGGAATTCACCGCTGAAGTAGGGTTCACCATACTTTATTTCATAACAATGGTCGTGGCGTTGCTTGGCAACACGTTGCTGATATACATTGTGTGGAGAAAGCCTGAGACAAGAAGTCTGACAAGTTTCTTGTTCGTTAACATGGCAGTGGCTGATCTAATGGTTGTTGTTTTTCAGATGCCAATTAACTTCGTTAATCTGCATGTATCAGAAATTCCCTCCGAGGTCGGTTACTTTTCGTGCAGATTCCTTTACTACCTCGCCAACATTACGATGACGGCGTCCATCTTTAGTCTTGTTGTCATGGCATTTGATCGATACTTTGCCGTTGCACATCCTTTTAGGCAAAGCATTTGGTTCAGGAAAGCCAAACTAAGTATTCCGTTCATATGGATCTCATCAGTAGCTTTGATGGCGATCACTCCTTTTGCCTTTAAGCTGGAGAATGGACGGTGCTATTTTGCAGAGGACGAGATGCTTCCACTGGCCTTCTGGACGTATCTCCTTCTTATCAGTTACATACTTCCTCTCGCTGTCATCTCTGTTCTGTACTTCGCAATTACCCGCAGAGTATGGTTTCACGAAATTCCTGGGCAACAAGAAAGCATTCGAGACCAGCCACAGGGTCAAATCCCAAAGAAGAGAGTCATCCGAACGCTCATCATCATAGTGGTGGTGTTTGCTCTTTGCTGGCTTCCCCTTCAAGTATTCCAAATGGACTTCGCGGTGCGAAACATGCTCACGGACTGGCATCCCATTTCTATCTACTTCTCTTATTGGCTCAGTCAGGCTAACAGTGGAATAAATCCCTGGTTATATATCGGCCTGAATGGAAAAATGAAGGCAGCCTTCAGCAAAATGATTCGATGCCGCCAAGGAGAGAGTGCTCGGAGATACAAGGCATCCACTTCAACTTTACCTCGTGAGTCAGCAGGAAGCACACGTTTGTAGTCCAAGTTGTGAAACCAGTTCGAAACCTGCAGAATCAAGTCAAGCCTAGTGTAGATAGCGTTATAAATGCTAAGTTGTGTATACAATAAAGAAGGTTTCGAGCTGAAGTCATCATATTGCAATAGGTGCTAAAAGCTACAGTAAATTACGGCATAGATATAATCAAATTTATCTGATTTGCAAAATCACCTTTAGCTTCTGTAAGATCTAAGCGCTTTTTCATCAGTTTTAGAATTATTTATTTTTTATTTTCTTTTCTCATAACGCCTTGTTAGTGTTTTTTGTTCAGTTTGTTAGATTTTTCGTCAGTTACACTTTCACTTTTGCACGCTTTCATACCACACGTAATTACCCCAGTCCTCTTTTCATTTGCATGAGGACCTATAAACCCAGTTTCTTTATAGCTTGATCGCTTTTTTTCTCCGTGAGTTTCTTCCGAAGTCATACTAAGCGCGGTTTTCTGATTAAGAAGTCTCTATCATTTAGTTATTTGCAGTTGCAGTTATTTTTAGGAGTTATTAATTTTAGTATTTTTCCGTTTCATTTTGTTTGTATTTCTTTATTGTTGTAATTTTTTTTCCATCCTATGTGAGTTATCTTTTCTCCACCTTTTTTAGCTGCAGCTTGTTATCCCCTTAGCTCGTTTAGGTTTAATAAAGTCAGTCATAGAGTGTAGTCGGGGGTCTTGTCTTCGCCTTGGTCCATTAAAACACGCTCAAAAAAGAACTCGACCAGTATACCGCCATCCTAATCTCATACTTCGTCAATAATGCACGAGAAGTGGGGAATACAGATCTTTGTTAATGCAAAAGCTTGTTTGCAAAATGAAGCCTATGTTACAAAGAAGGCCTAAAACAGGAGAAGCTGGAAAAAAAAAAACAAAAAAACAAAAACAAAACAAAATCTCATTAAGCGGCTGCAGACCCCAAGTGGATACGGACATGACAGGTAATAGGCATTTTATCTACAGAATTAAACTGAAAGTATCTTTTCTTACTTAAGGGATGACCACCTTTAAGTAGTTATAACATCATGCAATATTCCTACCTGTTACGCATCCATTATCGTGAGTGGTTTTACAGCCAAAGGTACATATAACAAGTCATTGAGACTGGAGTAAGTAGCCTTACACCTGGTGAGAAAATAAAAATGGTTTAATTTCACACCTTTAAAAGTATTTTGACGATGTAATGATATAAAAGAGACATTCGCGTTTAACTTATGTCATAAATCAGAACGTGTCCTTGATAACCGGCCGGTATGATAGACATTGTGCAGGTGTTCTGTGGTTCCAAATATTTTCAAAATTCATCCTACATTTTTAACAGAACACAATTTTAAATTGGTCAAATCATGAGGTGAGATGCATTACGTGTATTTGATGGGGTTGTCGACTCTTTTCACAGACTAACTTTGTATGATACTACAAATCTTGGCCCAACTACTTTGCTTTTTAGGACGCTGTTTCGCAATTTTGGTCAGAGAGGATGTTGAGGAAAATAAATAGA